GATATTTTACAAAGTTGTCCTCAGTTATTAACAGTGCTCTGTATTAAATCCAAGGCAATCTCCAGCCCCATCACCCAAGTAATTTCCTTAATTCTCACCCTTGCTTTTCATTCCAAAACTCCTTGATTTGCTGTGTAGTTTCTGTTCCAGATATGACAGTTGGACTTGACAACAGATTTCTGCTTCCCAATTTTTGTCCCTTGGCATAAAACTACCTCCAGGATTTGAACTAAACCTGGAATGTCCTACTCCTGGAATGTTCCAGGACTCAACTCTTGGACCACTTCTCCTCTCTATTTATATTTACTCCCTTGGTGATCTCCTCTAATATTATGGCTTTAAATATACCATCTACATGCTGATGACTCCCAATTTTATTTTGCCAGTTTATACCCCTCCCCTGAAATTCTAGACTTGTATATTTAACTCCATCTCATTTTGGATTTTACCATCTAAAATTGAACACAGCTGTGTGGCTCACTTGGTTGGAGTGTCATCCTATGCACCAGGTTGCGGGTTTGATATCTGGCCAGGGCATGTATGGGAGGCAACCAATCAATGTTTCTTTCTCTCTAAAATCAATAAACATATACTTGAGTGAAAATTGAAAAAAAACTATGTTCAAAATCAATTTTCTACACTTTTGGTAAAGATGGACAGTTGTTATTTTGATTGTGGTAATACTTAAATGGGTGCATGTCTATGGAACAACTTGCCAAAGTGTACACTTAAAAATGTACAATTTATCCCCTGGCTGGTGTGGCTAAGTGGATTGAGCATCAGTCTGTGAACCAAAATGTCTGTGGTTCCATTTCTAGTCACAGCACATGCCTGGGTTGCTGACCAAGGCCCCAGTTGGGGGTATGTGAGAGGCAATCGATTGATGTATCTCTTACACATTAACATTTGTCACCCTATCTCTGCTCTGTCTAAAAAAATCTCCAAAAACATTTTAAAAATGTACAATTTATTGTATTATCACTTATTTTCAGGATATATTGGGATCAAATATATCCTAACTAGGAGTGGCAAGGGCACATTCTTTCCTAACCTCAGTAAAGTGATGTGCTGCATTTGTAAATGTTACTCTCTTCAAATTTCTGGAACACTTTTTCCATTGTTAATACTCCAGAGAACTAGAATCAAGTGAGTAAGCATAAATAAGCTTCCAAATAGGGTGAATTATATTGTAGTCCATTTGGGATTCTGTGAAATCAGATCCTTACTTCCTGTTCTAACTCAGCCACATGGCTTGCCAGGACCTCAATAGTAGACAAAAGGCAAGGGGGAGGGAGAGGCCAGGACTCGATAATGAGACCAAGGAGTCTGGTTTTCAAATTGGAACCAAGATGGTCCATAAAATTTCATAAACTTTTGGCACACTTGTGTTTTGATATTATCTCTCCGTATGTGCCCAAATACATAAAATCAGTGAGGTGGAGCAAGGCCAGAGGCAGTGGCGATATTCGGTGAGACAATCACAAGTACTGGGTTGGCCAAAAAGTCTGTGTTTTATTCCATAAAATAAAAGCCATATTTTTCATTTTCACCAATAAATTAATTTGGATATTTTGAGTATGCTGGTTATCTTCCGCATGGTAGAATGTTGATTGTTCTCAACTAATGTCTCAATTTGATCGCTATCAACTTCACCTGGTCTATCCAAATGTGGAGCACCGTCCTGTGAAAACTCTAGCATGTAACTTTGCAATATGAAACTTTGATATGATCAGTCACAGCACCTTCTCCATACACTACACATCACTTTTTTGCACTTCAGTTGAATTTTTACCTCTTGAAATAATAAAGCACAATATGCCAAGATGTTGTATATTTTCAATATTAGGATGGTTACACAAAAATTCACCCATTTTGATGTTTTTTTTTAAACACACACTGATATGACAACTGTCACAATACAATCTTAACAAAATTGTTTCGAATGAAATTAAAGACAACTAAATGCTACTAGAACTATCTTATGGAAAAAAATACAAACTTTTTGGCCAACCCAATACTATGCTTTATTTTTTTAAAAGAGTTTATTTTAGAGATGGGAAGGGAGGGAGAAAGAGAGAGGGCAGAACATCAATGTGTGAGAGATACATCAACTGGTTGCCTCTAACACACCCTCTCCTAGGGACCTGGCCCACGACCCAGGCATGTGCCCTGATTGGGAATCAAACCAGTGACCTTTTTGTTTGCAGGCTGGTGCTCAACCTGCTGAGTTACACCACCCAGGACCCAATACTATGCTTTAAGTACTATCGTCTTTTGACCTAAAAATAAACCTGCAGGAGGAAAAACGAAGGAGGGAGGAAGGACTGACAAAGGATAAGCAGACTATCCTAGTAGCCTGGGATTCAAAAAGGATTTAACTGGAAAACTAATATAAGAACCATGAAAACAGCCAAGAGCTCTTTCACACAGGCTGGGCAAACAGAAAGGATCAAAAAACACCTACTTAGTTTAGAGGGCACTTGATTGGGAAGCCAAGTGCAGTAGGATATTGAGTTTCTTGTAATGGAACTAATTTTAGAAAACACCAAATGGTAGGTCTTAGCCAACTGAACTTTTAAGATAACCTGGAAGCATGGTGTAAGGCAAAGAGAAAAAAATTCTTCTCTCTTCATTGGCTAGTCACTAAATCCAGGCATGTAGATTCTGCTTTCCACTTCTAAAACTAGTCCTAACCAGGATCCCCTACCCCCTAACCCCATCCTATCCTAGTCTGATTGTTAGGTCTCTAGGGCTTTTGAGTCTCCATTGATTTCACTATTAAGGTGCAAATACATTGTGGAAGGTTAAAGCCCTCATCCAGCTAACTTAAGGTCCCTGGTCTTAATCTGTTTTATTACCCAGCATTCATAAACCAGAAAGCTATGACTCTAACAGCAAGATCTGTGTGAAATGAGAAATACCACCCAGGTGTCTACTAAAAGGTTTAAAAGAAGTAGTAAGTTTAATTGAATCTGGTAGATGTTGAATTTTCAAGTTTAATTCCACTAAAATTGTACCTTTTTGCACCCAACTCATTTCTTGTCCAGGTGTGGACCCTGTTGTCAAGAACACTACTGCATCTTCCACTGAAAATATGTTTTAGCAAACTCAAATGACTATAGATTTTATACAGCTCTAACTCCTTGCCCCAAAACATTAGTAAGGTACTTTTTTAACATTTCATCCTTACCTTCCCCACTTGGTCTCTCAGGTTCTGGAGCGTATCTTCACTGTTTCTTATGCCCAAATCTATCTTCCTCACTTTGGACTTGATTGAGTTACAAATTCACTTGTTCAATATTCAGAGACATTATAATTATTCCTCTCTCCCACAGTACTTTGTATTTCTATAGCCTGCTTTTTGACTCTCCTTGATATTTTATACTACTGACATATAGAAGACATAGGAAGTATTTTACATCTGATCTCTGGCAGAACCTCCTACAGTGCAATAAAGTAAATGCACATTACCAATTTGATTTGTATTATATCAGCTAAGGAATTGTGACATTAAAAGAATGATTGGGAGGGAAGGAGCAAAACCAGAACTGCAGGAAAAGGACAGAGGGATCATTTTGTCTATTCCACAACATTTCCCTGTTTTGAAGTTGTTTGCCAGCTCCGACAAAGGGTAGAAACTTTTGCTTGAGAGTTTTGTGCAAGACCCCAATTAGTCTTTTACTGTTCATTGTTCACTTAAAACTTACTACACAACCAAGTACCAGGTAGTTAAGGTGCCTAGGCATTTAAGTCAGTGAACAAAACCGACCTTAGAAAGAATGTTAAAATTTTCCAAATGGAGCAGGACAAGGGGGATTCAAGAATGCAGACTGCAGCCCTGGCTAGATAGCTCAGTTGGTTAGAGTGTGGTCGTGATACAGGGTTGCAGGTTTGATTGCCAGTAAGGAAGGCATACATAAGAAGCAACCACTGAATGTGTAAGTGGCACAACAAACCAATGTCTCTCAAAATCAATTAAAAAAAATTAAAGGATGCAGACTGTAATACCAGTTTACTGATATCTATATGTGTAACAGAAGAAACTGATAAGGTTACCACCACAGTGTTACTTGTTTGTTGATCTTATAGCATCAACAGGAAATATAGGAGCTGTAATAGCCATGATTGTCAATTGCTTCATTTTATATACATTATCTCATTGAATCATTTACCTGAAGGTGCATTTTATCTCTATGGTGCCAGTTTTCCTCATTTCTTTTGGTAATACCAAGATACAGTATGTGTAACACCTTGCACCAATCGATTGTTCTCACTGAAACAAGCCTCAAGCCCCCTTAATTTCCCACAAACATAGCCTCTGTGGGATTTCTTGTACCTAGTTTAATATTGTACAACTACCCCACTAAACCTTTAATGTCTAGGATATCAGTATTTTTTATTTTAATATGGGTTCAAGAAACATTTTCAGACATCCATTGTACACAGTCTTACTACTTGGGGCAAATTCACTGTGTGTCTGGCCATTCAGCCATAGTCTTGTAAGCCTTGAGAGCCTCTCCTGAGTGGCATGAGTCCAAAATGAAATTCCTTTCACTAAGCCAAGAAAACAAACATTTTAGGAAGAAGATGACAGCTCATCGAGGAAAGAAATTTCATGCTTTGACTATGACATTAGGTATGGGCTTGGGAACAACTTATTCATGCAGCTATTTAGGGAAAACGATCATGAATCACCTAATCACCTGGGTTAGATCAGATGCTACTACTGTTTACAAAAATCCATTCCATGCGATATCTGACTAGTTCTAACCCAGATTTTTTTCAGTGACCTTCTTTGTGACCCTTAACTGCTATGTGGTACTCTTCATTTTCATCATTACTTTCCATTTTTTAGCTTAAACATCCTTTCACATTACAATTACATAAGACTAAATATTCTATGAGTCAGTTAATCAGAGCAATCACTTTGATGCCTGGTACTCCCTACCCCATAATAGGCCTGTCTCTTCACATTGCTCTCATCTCCATTAAACAGCATAAACTTTCACTCCACTTTATTTATGCATTTTAACTTTAAACATATGATCAAAATTAGGACATTTATCCACAATTATTTGATTACAAGGCTACTTAACTGCCAAAAAAATTCCATTACAAATGCTTAGTTTGACATGCATTCCTAGAAACAGATCTAGAATATAATCTACTAGTTAACAGGTTGTGACTCTGTAGGGCAGTGTGACATGACTAAATAGAAATGGCTTGAAATCTTATGAATATATTAATCTAGATTTGATGTAGTTCAGAATCTATTTGCAAAATTAAAAATAAACACTCTATCTTGATGCATATGTTTTCCTTCCATGTCCATAAAATGAAGAGCTTTTCCTGATTACCAGTTTTCCACACAACATGCAGGTCACTCTTGTAACACTGGCCCTGGGAAAAGAAAACACTTGATTTACAAAACTATCAACCATTAAAACTTATTTAAAATTTATTTTAAAAAATGCTATAGTCCTTATAATGGTCTATCTCAGAAGCCAGATCCGTATTAAGTTTTTTCAACAGAAATTCAGGTTCGGGATAGGATCATCACAGATAAGACCAAGAACACAGTATTAGCTGTTAAGCAAAATATCTCCACTCACAGAAATGGTTACAGCTCAAAATCAGCAGCAAACTGGCCCCTTTCAACTGGCAGATAGTGATCCCTCACTGTTGGCAGAGAAAAAACAAAGCAAAACAAAACACTATTGTGAGACAGCAGTTTCCCCCCTGTAGGCAACAAAAAATTATTTCATTTTTGCACATTAGTCTCATCTCAGAAGCCGAATCCGTATATGCTTTTCTTCAGATAATCAGCTTCGGGATAAGTTTCATCATTGATTAGACCATACACTAAAGCAGCATTAAAAGGTAAGTACTGTATTAGAAATACTACAGCACATTTTGTAAGCCACACAACTTACTTCAAAACGAAGCTGACACGGATAGCTTCATTAGTATTTATCAATCCTCAGGATGCTGTTCAAGGAAAAAAAATTTCCATTTAACCTATATATTGACTAAACATATGGTGAAATCAAAATATTACTAGCCCAACACATACCTGGTAAGAATATATTTTAGCCAGGTAATTTCCCAGCTAATATTCTCCCATGTTTTGGAATTTTCTTTTGCATCTAGTATAAAAAGAAGCAAATTTCAAACGATTCACCATCTTTTATTCCCTTAAATCAACAGGTTTATTTCTTCATTTTAAAAACTAAATATTAAACTCTCAATAGCACTTACCATAGTGTCTTCACATAACAGCTCCGTTACACCGAGCGCCATTGTTCCTGCGGAGCATCAATAAATTTAAAACTAAGCATTCTGATGTAATAGGAATAGAGTTCAAGGTTTTCAGAACTAAAAAGAGAAACCCTTCCCTTCCATTAATCCGATTTGCACACAGCGCCACCTGGCCACAATACAACTATCAGTTTCAGCAAAATCAAGGGCTGTCCATTTTGAAATAACCGTTTCATCTGAAGACAGAAGACAATTGTCTTAGTAATAAAGGCCTCTTGCTTTTAACGTAAAACTAACGCCTCGCCCCAAATGCCGAGCATGTGGTTTCTCTGCCGCTGCTCAAGCTTTGACAGCCGCGTACCCAGGTTTAGTAACCAGGCTGCGCGAAGTGCTGTGCCCATCAGCAACAGCCTCCTCAAGCCTAAACTCGAAGTCCGCCTCCACCACGACTCAGGGACACGTGGTGGTTCGCTTGCGTTTTTCCAACATGCGAGCTCTCCACTATACAACACTCTAAGCTCACTCAAATTCGTAAACTCCTTCAGTTCTGCAGCCTCCAATTTCAGCCTGCGCAACCAGTGGCCTCTCGGATTCGGTTTCTCGGTGCGACCCCTACTCACCAGCTACAATGGAGCACGTCCCAAGTCCCGACGCAAAAGAGTGTGCTAAGACTCCAGCAGTTCCCTATATAGCCTCTCCTGAGTCAGACCGAGACCGCCCCTCCCTCTCACAATTATTGGACGCTAGAGAAGATGGGGGTGTGGCCGTTTCCTGAACGGAGAGAGCGAGAGCGAGAGCGAGAGCGTGAGCGAGAGCGAGAGCGCGCGCGCGGCTGCCCTTTTATTTCGGGGGCTCGTTCCGGGGCCTAGTGCACGCGCCGCCCGCCCGTCACGCGCCCGTCCTCTCCCCAGCGCGCGCCCCCTGGCGCGCTGCCTAGGGTCCCCTCTGAGTCTGGCTCTACGTGGCGCGGGAGTGGCGCCAGAATTCAAACGAACAGGCACAGTTGGAGGCAAGGCTGCTGCTTGCAGCGAGCCAAGTCCGCCCAGGACCGACTGGATGGCTCTGGATCTGTAGTGGACTTGAGTTTCGCAGCAGAGTTTTGCAGCCTCACCTTATGACCCACAGGAGAAGTTGGGTTGGCTGGGGTCTGGAGTGAGTTGACACCCAGCGGCCTCTGAGCGCCTGTGAAGAGAAATTGGCGGGTAGAAATGTTCGGGTTGAAGAAAGTATGTGAAAGTGCTGCGTTTCTCTTACGGTCCACAAAAAGACAATACCGTTCCTGGCGCCTTCGGAGAGCTTGCCTGCCGCGGGGAACGCTGTCCAGGACCAGGTCCTACGGCGCCCACCAAACCTCCAGGCTTCCTTGTGACAGGCACTGCGGGTACACTATATTCCGCACATAGAAGTCTCCCTGAGAGAACAAACCTGAGAGGTGAATATTCCATTTGGCCGAGGAGAACTGAGGCCTGAAGCAGCTAAGTAATTTGCCTGAATTCACACAACTGAAAAGCTCTGCTATTTTTAATTTATTTGTATTAAATTCTTTATGATGAATGCTGGAGAAAGATTAATTTGAGAACTATTACAGAATACCTTATCCAAACAACACTCAATAAATTCTGTAGCAACGGGTCTATTAATTAGTATGTGCAAGTAAATAGATGTATATGCACGCACAAGCACACGTGACATTTGAACATGTCAGCATTTGAAAATGCAAGTCTTCATAGCGCTTATTAGTGATTCTATTTAAGTATTGGTTTTGTCTAAGGAACAGATGGTTTTGTGTACCGTTCTTTATTTTTCTTTATTATATAGCGTAAAGCAAATTGCTGTAACAGGAAGCAAAGTGACATGGAATTTTCTTGGCTTGGTGTTACCTAGGGTTTTGGATACTGTTTTGTAATGTACAATGTAAATTTACATATTGCTCAAAATAACTAAATACAGATGGATATAAAAAGCGAAGTAAAAGTTTCCATATCATTGGGAATCTTCTCTCCACATTAACAGTAACCACTATTAACAGTTTTTGAAACTTTCTGTGCATATACATAGGCTCCTTGGCTTATGATGGGATTACATCCCAATAAACCCATCAGTAAATTGAAAATATCTTAAGTAGAAAATGCATTTAATACACCTAACTTACTGAACATCATAGCTTAGCCTCTCCTACCTTAAATGTGCTCAGAACACTTACATTAGCCTACAGGTGGGTAAAATTATCTAATACAATGAATACAATGTAGACTGAGTATTGGTTGTTTACCTTATGATAGTGCACCTGGCTGGGAGCTGTAGCTTTCTGCCCTTGGCCAACATCAGGAGAGAGTGTCCTACCACATATCGCTAGCCAGGGAAAAGATCAAAATTCACATTTTAAAGTACAGTTTCCACTGGATTATTATCACTTTTGAACCATTGTAAAGTCAAAAAGTTACAAATATAATTTGTAATCTGTACAAATATATGTTTATATTTTTTCACATGTAAATAGGATCTATATGCATTTCTGCAACTTGCTTTGTTCCTTCATAAATATCATGGACATGTTTCCATATCAGTGCATATAGATGATTATTCTTGTTTATAGCCTGCACAGCCCTCAATTAGATGTATCATGATCATTTTCCAACTTTCTACCGTCATAGTGCCAAACTGAATGATAGATACATCATAGTGAGCTTGTGAGAAGATCTGCAAGATCAATTTCTAGAAGTAAGTCAAAGGTTGTGTGTGCTTAAATTTGTGGTAGGTTTTGCTTAATTGTTCCACCACCTTCCACCACCAAATGGTTGTATTGTGATTATATTTGGAAGTGTGTTTTGCTCATGAAAAACACCTATGACTATTATGGGATGGCAATTATTACACAATTGAAGCGAAGAACAATTGCCCTGTTTGTTATCTGTTTGAATCCTGTTTGCTGTGCTGAACACCATCAAAATTATCTGGTCAAAGTAACATAAAACAATGACTCCCTATGGTGACTTAGCAATTGAATACTTGGAGAGATAAAAATTATCTGATTTCTGGGCCCTAACCTGGAACTACTAAAGTAAAATCTCAAAAAATGGGAAACATTTTAAACAAGCATCTAGACAATGCTCTTCAACAAGAACATAACATGAATCATAAAGCAAGTTGCTTATATATTTTTAAATATGCCAGTAGCCACATTAAAAAGATTAAAAAATCAGATGAAATTAATTCTAGTACATTTTATTTAACCCAGTCTAACCAATTATTTTCACTTCAACATATGATCAATTATGTTGTTGAGATATTTTACATTCCTTTTTTGTACTTAGTCCTTAAAATCTGGTATGTGTTTTACACTCAAAGCACACCTCACTTTAACTCCCAAGTGATCCATTGCCACATGGATAGTGGCTATTGTATTGGACAGTATAGGTCTATGGTGATTCATATACATATAGAAGTTTGAGAACCACTGTGTTAGAGTAAGTGCAGTAGTGCACACATGACACATATTCAAGTCTTTTAAAACAAACATTTCATATTGCTTTTAACTCATAAACTAACAAATTTGGAGCCTGATTATTAACAGCATGCCCTCCGTGAACATGGGTGGTGATTGTGATGCCAGTACACAACTCACTCAAGATATTTATCTCTTCGTACCACTTCACACCAGTGAGACTGGCCATCATAAACAAATCAACAAACAGTAAGTGCTAAGGAGATTGTGGAGAAAAGGGAACCCTAGTACACTATTGGTGGGAATGCAGACTGGTGCAGCCACAGTAGACAATAGTATGGAATTTCCTAAGAAAACTAAAAATGGAACAGCCTTTTGACTCAGCAATTCCACTGCTGGAATTATACTGTAAGAATCTTGAAACACCAATTCAAAAGGACCTATACACCCCAACGTTCATAGCAGCACAATTTACAATAGCTAAGTGCTGGAAACAGCCTAAGTGCCCATCAGTAAATGAGTGGATCAAAAAACTGTGATACATTTATACAATGGAATACTACACAGCAGAAGAAAGAAGGAGCTCCTAGCCTTTGTGGCAGCATGGATAAAACTGGAGAGCATTATGCTAAGTGAAATAAGCCAGGTGGTGAAAGACAAATACCATATGATCTTACCTATAAGTGGAACCTAATCAACAAAACAAACCATGGACAGGGACAATGGGGTAAGGGCGGGGGGCAGACTGAATGTGGAGGAAAGCAGGACAGAGGAGAGTAATGGGGGAACAAGAAGGACAACTATAATTGAACAACAACAAAAAAATTTTAAAAAGATGTTTATCTCTTCAAGGAACAGAAAAACATTCTGAGGGATGAAGCCAGTAGTCATTGCTTCCATACCTAAAACAGTCAAGCAAATTGCTACCAAATATTTGAAGTGATTTAAAAAAGATCATGTAGAAGTCAGAACTGAAATTAAGTGTCCTTGAGGAATTTAGCATATTGAAAATAAATTCTCATATTCTGTAACAAAGTTCCAGATAAGAACATTATTTTAGTCATTTTTTGGAAGAAATGTTCACTGAATCCTTGGTGCATGCAGTGTACTTCAGTGAAAGATAGTATGAATACACAAAGTCCTTGACCTTCTGAAAGAGTTTATAGTTTAGTAAGAATTATCCACCAAACTTTAGGTACTTTCGGTTTAAAATTAGACAGCCATTAAATACTTTTCGGTAAGATCATACTGTGAACCAAATAATGTTTTAGGAAGTGTTGGGGGCAGAAAGATTAAAAGCAGAGTTTAGAAATGAGTACAATCATTTAGATGAGATACTGTGAGGGACAGCGCTATAATTTTGGCTGTGGAAGTGGAAGGCAGGAAGAGAACAACATGCAGTGAGAATTTATATGCTGTTAGGTTCTTGTATGCATTGGGTTATTCAAAACAATCTTGGTATGTATTTTTAACCTTATATTACATATGAGGAAAGTGGGGCATAAAGGTCTCAGTTAACTAATATTTTCAAGGTTTTTGACCCCAAACTCATAATCCTGGCACCAGGACATGACATTGCTTTGTTAAAGGAAGAAATATTAGTAGATGATAATGAACTATAAGGGAAGAGAGGAAGTGAAGTGGAGCCTGCCAGCCAAGAGAATGGCAGTTCCACTGACAGGAAGAGGGAAGTCAGGAGTTATTGATTTAGGAGCAGGGTGAAAGAAGATTTGGCTTTGGCTGTGTTCAATTTGGAGTGGAACATGCAGTTATATTTGTCCAGTGGACCATCAGAAATGTAGAACTGAAGCCCAAGAGAAAAGTCGGAAGAAATCACTGAAGTCATGTGCATAGATGACTATGGGGAGAAAAGAAAAAAAGGCCAGCAGCAGTGGCCTAGAATTAGTCCCACAGTGTGTGCAGATGTCCTGCAGTAGATACCCTTTGAAAACATAGTCAATATATGTAAAAATATGGTTAGATAATGAATGCATAAGAAAACACTTCATTATTACAGCTTCTGATTAAATCATGGGAGAAATGTATATGCCACATTAAATATTGTAAGCATAATTAATTTATTCAAACGTGGGAAAATCAGTTTTCAAAACAAAAGGAATTATCTAGTAAGAGATTAATATCCAAAATACATACAAAACTCATACAATTCAATAACAAAAAAATCCAATCAACAAATAGGTAGGGTA